GTTGAGGGCTTAAGGTTTAGACCATCTGGCAGATTATCACTTGTATCGTTTATCTATGACCACATTTAGAAGATGCATATATAGTCACATAGAATTCTTAAAGGGCTGATAGGGAACAGCCCCGAATACACAGTAGGTTATGACCCCTTAAATATGGGCTATAGTCGCCCCCACTGCGCCGGTCCGCAAGTTCGTCGCACTCTATGTTGCTCACTTACACCCCCCTTAGACTCCTCCCCAAGTCCTCCGCCCGGAACAATTATAGTACAGTCATGGGTGCGAGACGCATTCGAATCCATGCTCGGTCCGAAAGGTCGTCGCACTCCATATTGTTCACTTACACCCCCCCAGACTCCTCCACAAGTCCTCCACCCGGAACAATTATAGTATATTATCATTCATTACGGGGTGATAACTAGCCAGGCTACGGTATTCCTCGCTCCCTGTACTCCGCGTACTCCGTTTAGTGTCTCTAGCGGATGCGACGAAACTTTATTTGCCCGGCATGCTCATGGCAAGGACTTTTGGACTGCAGCCGTCGCTGTAAGAGATCGTCATGCACGTGTGTGTGTACACAAACATGTACACGCTTGTACATGTCTGATCTCTATCTCTGTGTGTGTATGGCGAGCCATGTGCAGAAATGTGGACATTAATGGGTACGAGACGCATTCGAATCCATGCCGCGCATGGAAAGGACTTTTAGACTGAAAACGTCACTGTGAGAGACTGTCATGCATATGTACACAGACATGTACACGTTTGTACACGTCTGATCTATATCTTTGTGCGTGTATTTGAGAGCCATGTGCTTCATGTACACCTTCATGGGTACGAGACGCATTCGAATCCATGCTGTGCCGGTCCGAAAGTTCGTCGCACTCTGTGTTGTTCACTTACACACCCCCCTAGACTCCTACAAGTCCTCCGCCCGGCACAATTATAGTATATTATCATTTCATTACGCGGTGACAACTCCTCCGCTAGCCAGGCTAGGGTCTTCCTCACTCCCTGTACTCCACGTACTCCGCAAGTGTTTCTAGCGGATGCGACGAAACTTTATGACCGGGCATGTATAGCCCTTGAAACAACGGGTTTTCGAATCCTCAGGTATGATTCAGTGTAACCGCAACAGACCTGGCACAAACGAAGGTGCGACCCAAGATCGGCATGCATTGCTAAAGTTATAGTATGCCAGCCATAGGTCTTACACCTAAGCCTTGTACGCTTGAAGCCCCAGATAAAACGCCTGGCATCAATGGGACAGAAAGAGGCCCCTTCCTTGCGAGTTCGTGGCGCGTGCGGCCACGGCTTCCTCAGATAGCGCCATTTCGGATCTGGTCTGCGGGATGTGCTCAAATCTTCCAATATCGCTTAATTCAGGAATATGCCGTAAATCATATTGGGGATCCTACTGCAATCTGTGGTACGTTCCTCAGTTGAAGGATAATTATTGGGACATCTGGGTGCTCATGTATAAGCTGCAACACATGGCACCTGGCAAATGGAAGCCTGTATCTCTCTAAAAAGGGTCTTTGTGCTGCACCTGCCAATCCCATCGCCGAATCAACGCGGGGCGACAAACAGGGATACTTACCCAGCACGACTGCGGACTGTTAAGGCATTCATGCCTGTAACCCCTTGTTCCTGCTGACTGTAGAGACTTTATAGTCTGGCTGCGTGATTATCCTCGATTTATATGAAGATACCCCAAGCCCGAAACCAATAGTGTTACTGATTATTTAAGCCTATATATTACGACTACGACTCCACCTGGCTCATCCTCCTGGAAGGCATCTTTTTCACAGCTTCCCTTGCGCCACTTCCCTTCCTATTCATACGGGTCCTGGCCCGAAGCCTTACCTCCCCAAAATTCAAGTTAAAAGCCAAGACAAAGCTTTCGGCCGATGTCGGTCGAAACATTGTTTGGACCGGAATCTTGTGCAACTTCTATAAAACCCTAAACTCCCCCAACCGGCCAGGGAAGGGACGCAGGCTTCTCGCTCTTCGGCCGCAAGAGCTGGAAGGCCTTGAGCCTCAATTCCTGTCGCTTAGTACTGCGATTATCCTGATGTTTTAGGGTTTTGGCTTCCGGTTTGGGGTATAGGTTTAGGGTTTTGGGTTTAGGGTTAACTGGGTTAAACCCTAAACACCAAACGCACTCTTGTTTCAAGGCGCTAATACTCGGCCTGCTGGGCTCCCCATTAGAATGCGTTTGGAGGCAGGGGATAAAGGTTTATGACTGAGCGGCTTAGGGTTTACAGGATTTCATAAGGGTCAGTTTTACCGGATTTTAGTATAGGGGTCTCAATATTTGGAATAGAACTTTGTACCTATCATATGGGGACTAGGAGTCCAAAAGTAATACAACTACGTATTCAGACCCCTACATTAGGTTTCAGACTTGTGGGTGTAGGACTTATCGGGTTTACATGATACAAGGCTCAAGGAATTGAGGGCTTTTAGGCTTCCTGGGGCGTAGGATGTTCAGGGTTTAGGGCATAACCTTCGACCCTAAATGGCAAACAGTAGACCAAAGCTGGCAGCTCCTGTGCATCTTTCGAGGCTGGTTGTGTTAGTGACTGTTAGTGTTGGTTCTGCGGTGACGACGAACCTGGGTGTCGTCCCACCTAGGGTTCTGTTTACCATACCACCCTTGAAAAGACTATAGCTCTCTATACATCGAAGCGCTTTCCGAAGAAACATGTCTGACAACACTAATCTGGCCACTTCTTGTCAGAACACTCCGCCAAGCATTCCATTTACTCTTCGTAAATCCGACCCCACCACATTGATTAAACCAGCGGCTGCCCAGAATCCAGCTACAACACAAATCCTGGCTCTTAGCGGCACATCTCCACAGCAGCCAAGCTCTCAGGTCCTGCATGTCTGCACTCCTGTGCTGCGAAAACCTGGATCTAACAGAACTCTTCCAGCGGGCCAGGGAGCACATACAAAACCACGCAGGAGTTCTTACTTCACACAAGAGCCTTGATCCACGGCTTACCAGTCCTTCAGAGCTGCCTAACGAATCTCCTCATCCTTGGCAGTCAGACAGAGATTTCGGCAACCTGTTGAGTCTAGACCTGGCCACAGAGCAAACTAACAAAGTGGAAATAAAAAGGAAACGACAAGAACAAAACAACAACCACTTCAGTCAGCAAGTGTCACCACCACAGACAAGAACAACAACCGGCAGGACAATCAGCGTCTACCTCCAGCTAGCAGCTAGCAAAAGCAACACAGCTGCAATCATGAGCAACCGAAACACCAACGACGACAAGAACAAGAGCAACATCCAAAGCGGCAACAACAAGCAACGAGAATTGCCACAGCAACAACAGGAGCAGCACCTAAAACAGTTTCAACAGCACCAAGAGACCCGGAGGTCCGACCTGACCAGAACAATCTGGACAACAGGCACACCTTGACAACCACTCTCTTGGTCATCATGACCGTCAGCATCACTCCCCGGCCCCTGCTCTTATCATCCGCAAGAACTATTGAAGCACTACCACACTTCCAATTCTCATCAGTGCTGTGGTTCTTATCACTCAAGACCCAGTATAGAGCTCTATAACGATTGATTGAATTGAAGCCCCCAAAACTCCGCCTGGCCTTGTGAAAAGGAGACCTGAGCGCGAAAGAGCTTGAAAGGTCAGGGCCCGAGGCCAGGGTTCAGGGTTGAATATAGGAGCCCTTAATAATTGGAAGAAGGTTTGGGGGCTCGTTATACTATAATTGTATCACAAGGAACCCCCAACAGTAGTATTGGCAATGATTAAGGACCCTACATTACGGTCTTGGCCTTGTCTGAGGAAAAGGATGTTGTGGGATGTCCCGGCGCGGGGCTGCGGGTTTCAAGCTTCTCGGATCACTTGGGTGTGGTGGAACGGTTGTAGACGGTTGTAGCACAAACCGAATGCTCCTACACCGGTCAGGTGTGCCTGGCGAAGAAGCTCTTCGTAGCTACAAGGGACCAAAGGAAAGACAAGCCAGTTTAAGGTCTTGAAGATGTAGCCGTTTCCGCTTCGCGACTGTCCTACAAAAACCTTATTTTGGAATGTAACGCTGCGCGGTGTAAATCCTACATAGGTTCACGCACCACACCGAAAGACATCCAATCGGAGCGAGAATAAACATAATGTCTCCTTGCTCGATACACCGGGGCTCACTCTGCCCTTGGCCTCCCCAATCCACTTCATCTTTACACTGCTGCTTTGGTGTCCCAAGGATTCGACCTCAACCTTACCTGATGACAACGATCACTAGACCCTTCAAACCCCATTAATCCCGTAAACCCCGTAAGCCCTATGAACCTGCAAGCCTAGTAAAGCCTGTAACTCCCCTGTAAACCCTTACAGAAAGCTATGACAATTCCCTAGAAAGACCCCATAAACACCCTATCAAAAGCCTATAAACACCCTATTGACAACCCTATGAAGACCCTAACAAACATCCTATTTAGAACCCTATGAGGGCCCTGCAAGCACCCTATTAACAACCCCGAAGCTCCGCTGCACATGGACAGGCGAGAGACCGAAGGCCCGGCAGTCGTAGCCTCACGGAGCGAACACGGGGTCTTGAAGGCTTCAGATCTTCTTGGCTATTCGGGTATACACTGGTTCTTAGGGTTCAGGGCAAGTTTAGGGTTTTGGGCTTTTGGGCTTTTTTGGGATGACAAGCCTAATGGGGATTTAGGGACTATTGGACTCTTGAGCAATGATGATGATGATGATGATGATGACAAGATTTGTAGCTTCAAAACTGGATTCAGGGTTTAGCCGTTTGCCCTAAACGTTCCGGTTAGAGCAGCAACCTCAAAAAAAGGCTAGTGGTAGTTTAGGGTTTAGGGTTGTTTACCAGGTCGACTCTGGGCTTTGTTGGCCTGGATCCGAAGTTGCCGGATTAGCTCTCTCCTTTGCATCACAAAGCTCCCTACCCTGTATCCTCTCTTCTACTCTTAACCCCGAAGCCCGCAAAATTGCGAGCCGGGGAACCCAATAGCGATGGGGTGGACAACTTTCCCATAAGCTGCGGCAGCAAGGCTTTGACATGCCTGAGGACCTCAGCTGGAGGCCCCAGGTTGAAACCGGTGTTTAGAGCATAACAAGAATCATAATAATCAGAAAATAAGAATGATATTCATGATAACCATAATAACCATAACCACAACAAAAAGAATATCAATGATTATTCTTACCTTCTAGCGTCGAATGATTCTCTGGGCGGATCGGTTAGTCTGGGTAGGGTTTAAACGTTCCACGTGTTAAAACGCTGCTGCACCTGGAAGCTGAGCTTCCTAATGTCTTTGCTATGGGCTTTTGCGTGTGTGGACTTGGTTACCTGACAGACACGAAATACAATACGGGCGGTGATCGAAACCCGAATTGCTGTACAACGGGCCACTGTGTGCAGATGACGGCTGCACTGAATTCTGTAGATATCCGGAAAATGTAGCATTGGCGGATGCTTCGCATGCGAATGACGCAGTTCCAAAGTGCCGTGAAGCTTGATCGACATCCGAGCGGCTGAGGCGAGCTTGTCCATGTCTTTGGTGATTTGTGGCATCAGAACTGTCACCAACCCTTTCGTGTGGTGGTTGCCGTTCAAGTTGTTCAGGAAGGGGTAGACCCTCAGCTCAAGTCTGATTGGCTCAACCGCCCCTGCTGCTGACAGCTCGCACAGGAAGTACACCATGTTGGAAATATGGAGGGAGACCCTTATACCGTGTGGTATCGTTCCCAAAAAAAGAACATAATTCCCATACTCTCTCTCTCTCACACACAGACGCGCACGCAGAAACACCTGCAGCTTTCGGAAGCAGGAGGAGCCCAGAAAGCCGCAAACTGTGCCAAGCACGGGGAAAGGCAGGTACAGTACGCGACCAGGACACTCCTCATCCAAGTGTTGCAATATCTTGGCTGCGGTGGCGTCAAAGGACTTGATGTCCTTGTCCATGAGGAATCGCAACCTGCACAAGCAATTTCAGCACAGAAGAGGGCGCAGACGAGCGTCTAGAGCGTCTACGGCGGACATCCGACTCCCTTCTGAAGCTGACACAGAGCAGTCAAGAACGTCCGTCAAGTCCCCAAGTCTTAAAACCTCGGCTGGCAGGCCAATGTCACAAACTCCGTGTACACATAAGACATACACACATATGTAGTATTCTGTCTGTCTCGACACATCCACACACACATTACATGTGTATGTATATATATATATATATGTATTTCTCAAAATATACACATGCGCTCAGATATCAATGTAGAAAGAAATGCGCCTCGTAACTCAAAGAACATATTGTATGTATGTATGTATGTATGTATGTATGTATGTATGTATGTATGTATGTACGTATGAATGTATGTATGCACTGCATGGGTTGTGTGTGTGTATACGTGTCTACGAATGTGCGTGTGTACGTAGGTATAGCATCTTCCATCCCACACACAATGGTGCGGGCACAGACGTCCCTGCAATCAGGAGAGAAGATGCTAGTGGCTTCGCAAGAGCACAGCACGGCCTCTGCACTGTTGTGGTTTCGTCCTGCTTGTATTTCACGACTTAAGCTCTCAGAATCAGAAAGTGAGCACGATGAGAGCTTCGGGCTGTCAGGCTGCTAACATCATTCACTGGGATACAATCACCCACTGCCCTACTGACAGTGCATTGCAGCATGTGCCCTCGATGCTGCGGGAATGTGCTCCTGGAAACCAATCTTGAACTCTTCCATCTCCATCTTGCCACGCACCGAATCTTCACCCAACATCGTGGCCATGTGCAAAATCTTGCAGATGTCATAGCCTTCAAGTGCGGAAATTTGAGCATGGCAACTGCTTGCCACTTGGGCCTGACGTTCATGTCAGACGAACGTCAACCAGATTGCCGCAAACGAGCAAAAAGAGACCAAGATCGTCGGTGACGTTGTTGCAGATCGTTTTCAGGGTAGTTAACCAAAAATGATCTTGTGAAGCAGAAGAACACCAATCATCGCATGACCGTGCGAATTGCAAAGGCACGCAGCAAATTACCATCTACAATTTGCCATGATGGGCTCTTTCAGGCCTCATGGGACCACACATCCCCGAACATAGCGGCATGATCGCAACTGTGGAAATCAGACCACGGGCACCAAAAACTAAGCACAAGAGGACGCCCAAGTTCCAAGCCTTCCTCCGGATCTCTGAAATACTCTCGCCCAAGCGGCGAATGTTCGTGGCGCTCGCAATGAACTGATGCACTTCGTTCTCGATATCGGAGCGGAGCTTCACTAACTTCTCCAAGACTTCCTTGGCGGTTTCGGGTCCAGGGTTCAGGTTGTTTAGGGATTTTGATCCCAGCAGTCTAGGGTTTAGGGCCAGTATGGGGTTAGCGCCAAAACGGATGCAACATTGAGAGCAGTTCTGTCAATGAGGACAATCGCAACCCAGGCTCATGAATCAGAAACATGGCACGATGTCAGCACCTCTAACGCCCTGTAATCATAACTTAAATTGGGGCGTGGAGTGCTGGCGTCCGCAAAGGGGCCGATCCTACCTCGTTGCCAGCAAAACCTTTGGGTAGTCTTTTGGGGGCCTCGTGCTACTTGTAGTGTACTTATAACAGCCGCGAACTTCATCTGAGCATTCTTTCGCTGAAAATCATAAGAAGCACCTGGAAGACGTGCACGGTTCAGGGTTTATTGCAGGAACCTTAGATGCCAGTAAACTCACCTGCTCTTCTCGAACTCTTCAATCGGGCTCCGAATTGAAGGGCCGAGTGTCTGCGAAGCCGTTCGTCTTCAGCTCCTTCTCTAGTTTGTCAGCATCCTTCCGATTCCCCTCCTCTTCCATCATGTTGATAAACTCGCTGCCTTTGGCAAACGGAGGGACCAGCAGAAGGATATGGGCAGGCGAAACATGGATCAAACTCACGCAAACGATTCCTCATGCTTGGGGGGAGGGTGGGAGAAGGATGCGAAACCGAAACTGCAACCTGGCACTTGGCGATCTCGGAAAACTCATGCACGCCCATGGCTGCCGGGGTGCGAACCCCTCCTTGCAACTCCTTCCGGGCAAGGGAAGTCTCACACAGCAGAACTTCAAACGTTGACTCCCGCTACTCGTAGATAGGCATGCCCCCTGACCACTTCGGTGCCTTTGAGGCTCAGAGTCTGGCTGTTTTTGGGCTTGACAGTGTTGACGGTCGACACCGCGCTCCGGACCTTCTAGCAGAGTGGCGCCCTCCCATACAATGCCACCTGGCTGAATCTCTAGGACAGCGGGCAGCGAGTGATACTGTGACAGCTATGGCAGCGACGACCTTCTGACGTTGGAGCTGTGGTTCAACGATGGTGGCGATAATGATGATGGAGCTGAGGTTGAAAACAAGAAGGGTGAACATGATGGCAAACATCAGGATGACGAGAGTTATCACCAACACTTTGAACTGTCATTAGTCAGCAATGGCTTCTTCGAAAGAAGCCGTGAGATATTGTCTCCTCATCCTGAGATGGCCGTCCCCGGTATTTCACAAGGAGCTGTACCACATCATGCTGCTCGTGACGCACCGCATCGTCCTCCGGGCGTAGGCTTTCAAATTTCACAGCTCGGACACTTCGGGTAGCCTTGGGAGCTTTAGGGTCAATTCTGGGTGTTGGCGAAGTGCATAGGAGGAGAGACGGCCTCTGATTGATGCACCTGCCACGTCTAAGAGGCTGCTTCGCCCTCTTTGTGCTTTCCAGCTTGTAGCAATGAATATGTCGGGATGATGGGTTCTGCTGGTGATGTGCCAGCCGCTGGGGCAAGCTTCGACTCAATAAGCTGAGCAGGACTCTCTCTGTCAGAATGACTACGGAAGAGCTGTCTGCAACATGCCTTGCTTCTTGCCGTGAACACAGACGCCGCAGAGCCGCGTTGCTGAAAACTTGCTGCTACGGTACAATCACAGGAACAAAACCTCTGTACTATCAAATGCAGGCCGATGCTTGTCTTGCTGACGGCCACTGGCAGTCCATGGGAGTGTTCAGGAAGCGGTCCAGGGGATTCGGATCCACCTCAATGAAAGCAGCGAAACAAGATGCTGATGCTCTCATATGCCTCAAGACAGCCAGGAGGAGTACAGTTCGATGACCATGGCTACTATCGCGGATGTCCTGCAGCTGGTATTGCTACAGAAATAACGGTGTTGTTGCCATCAGCCGGTGATGCACCCGAGATGCCTTGCCCTCACGCAGGAGAAAGACGCACGTCTCCAAATGTCCGTTGGAACATGCCAGGTGCAGTGCGGTTCCTGATCAAGACGGGGCGGGGTCGTTCCGAGGTAGGGTTCGCCTTCAGGTTGCCTCTTGCAGCGCAAGGACTCGGGGACTCGGGAGGAACAACAGCTGGAAACACGACCCCCGAAACATGGTCTCGTCCCATCTTGGGACATAAGGGCCTTATAAGCCCCCGAATAACACGCAGGAGAATCATTCTGCAACTTTCCCAAGCCGGCTCAAGACTCCTTGGTAACCCTAGTCGGCACTCTCCGAAAAGCCCGACCTACCCTAAACCCCAAACCCTCTGAACTTTCTATAAACCCTCTACAAGCCCTTCAGGAAGCCTCTATGAATTCCCCCTAAACCCAAAACCCTAAACCCTAAACCGCAACCCGAGGAGCGATAGTCATAGTCCGCCATTCCTGCCCTGACCCCTGCTTCGATCATCCTGGGGGACGGAACGGTTTAGGGTTTAGGGGTTTCGGGTTTGCGGGTTTCTTTTTAGGGCCTCGGGAGTTTAGGGCATGGGGCTTTAGAGTGAGCCTTTGGGTCTTCAGGTTTTATGGTTTCAGGGCGTAAGCTGTTTAGATGTTGAGGTCACAAGAGGACCTGCAAGGCATGGGGTGCTGATGGGTTTTAGAGGTTAAGGTTTAAGGTTTACCCTAAACCCTAAACCCTAAACCCTAAACCTTAAGGTTTAAGGTTTAGGGTATTTTTTTCCGGGAGCGTGCCTCTTCGCGTTTGGTTGCCCTCGGGGTTTCTGGTTCGGAGTTCGGAGAAGCTGGGCCTTTTTGGTCTCCGGGGCAGCCGGGCACTCGATTTTCGAAGTTCGTAGAGCGGCCTTAGGAGACTCTGATTTTGTCAACTGATGGGCTGGGATGATGGCAGCCCCTTGCCATTTCACACTTTCACGATTTGTAAAAAGGTTATCCACTTTCACGGTGAATGAAGCCTTTGCAGAATTCAGCTGGTGAACCTAGACTCAGCCACAGAGCTTCTCGAAATCGCAACGACCTACACCCAGAGCCCGAAACCCAGTCCTAAGCCTTGGGCTGTTTGTCTCTTGTTCGAGACAAGGAACTGTCGGATCTTCCCAAGGTCATTTTGCGAAGCGGCTTCGCAGAGTGCCACACCGAACTCAACTTTGCCCATTTGGGCACCCTCTGCTTTCAGCAGCCTGCGATGCGTTGTCGCAGGCGGGCGAACGCGAGGCCACTTTAAGTGTCGGAGCTTGCAATTAGTTACGGGATGTCCCCCTGACAACCCACGCCGTCTCTAATTTATTTGCAAGTTCGCAAAGTATAAACTCGCGCCTTTGCACTGCCACGTGCTCGTGACGGATAGCGTCGTCCAGTGGAGTCTGGCCAAACCGATCCAGGGGGCTCAAGTCCAGGTTGCCAAACTCCAACATCTTCCTTGGTGTTGAGGCAATTTTTGTTTCCCTCCCGCCTGGCTAGGACGATCCTAAGGGTTTAGAGGTTGAAAAGATCCGGCTGCTTCTGCCTGTAGCTGGCCGTAATGCGCTGTCTCACTCACTACATCGCATGTGGCTGATGCGACGTTAGCAGCCCAAGGGGCGTGATCGTCTCCAGGTGGCCATTGGAAGCAGCCAGATGGAGTGCTGTGCGGGCATCGTAATCTCCAAGATTCGGGTCGACCTTATCATACTGAGCCTATCACTGCTTGCGCATGTCGGCCATGTCGAGATCTATAGCTGACGGGAAACTTAGTCTCGGCCAGGAATCATGCTATGCCGTGCCCTGTGATCGGCTTTAAGCAGGAAGAGCTTCAGAGCGCAACAAATATTAGCTATTGTTGCCTCTGCCGTGGCCGCCCTGGATCTGATGAACCGGAACTTAAACACTTGGCAAGCTTTCTGCAGTCAGCAAACGCCGATAACGTCCACAAGCAGTTCGAGCTGGGCGGTTTCGCCATTCGCCGCTGCTTCGCACAGCTGGACCTGGCATTCTGGTGTCCAATTGCAAACACGGCAGTGACTGTCTAGAATGCCTGCAATCACCACAGTCCATTTTCAAAATTGCTGACGTGCGCTAGAATCATCTCAGCTGGCGCTCATCTGTCGGCGATTCGGCTGGATAATATGAAATTTCTTCAACTCATTCACAAGCCATTCTCGCTTCAGCTGAGGAGAAATCGAACAGTAGCTGGGTAAAGCAGAGCGATGAACCCAATCGGCCTCGCGCCAAGACACCAGCCGTCTTAAGTTAAGGCAAAGAAATAATTACCGTGCATGGGTCTTTGCAGTCTTTGCAGTTGTCCCCCCAACCCCCCTTGTCAAGAACAGACAGGCTAAGATATTCAGTGGCGGGATATCTTGTTTCAAGGGGTTGCAAAAGGCCGGGGGCAATCGCGCCCGGGGACCTGGGAGTGCATCAGAGCTCTTTGTCTTATCATGGGATGCAGCTCAAGAGATGGGCAGGTCCCCCCCGGAAGCATCGTTTTCGCACAATCTTCGCGAGGAGCCTGATGACTCAGATTCCACTCATCCTTCGGATGACACAGGCTTCACCTTACACGGGAGCTCAGCTAGCCATGTTTCATTGCAGCTTCGTGACATGATTGACCTGTTGACCTGTCTGAACGGGCAAAGTGTCAATCATATCATATACTGGAATCACATGCAGTTGAACCCCAATGTCCAACAATGAGAGTCAACATCTCTGGTATTTGTCATCAGAATTAACAAGCACATGCTGCATGCCTATCTTTTGAAGGATTGTGCTGGGCAATATTGGTCCCGGTAGGAGCCGTAAGCCCATATTTTGGTTGGATAAGACATGACGGCAGCGCCGCAGCCGACACGCCGCCTTTGAATTCAGCCGATGCCTCAATCAGGAACTCCGCAACCTGCACGGACACACGTCTTGGTCTTCATGTCGTTCTGGCTTGGGAAGCAGAGTCCCAGAGAACGCCTCTGTGGATGATGATCGTAATTACTTGTAGCAAGCATGGGCAGACGAGCGCAAGAAGAAGTTCTAGCACGAGCCGCGGCAGCAGTACTCACGCTGATGAGGATTTGGCTGGTAGTGGCTGTGGCAGGGGCATTCTGGAGACGTTGCTATTGCTGCTGTTTAGGGTTTAGGGTTTAGGGTTTAGGGTTTCTTATCGGCACTCTTTCTCCTGGTTGCTTCTGTTACGAAGTGCTGCTGATGCTGCGGATGGTCCAAGTGCATCATAGGAGGAAGCTGCTGTTGCTCTTCTGGCTGTTGCTGTGAAGGTGGTGGTTGCAGAAGTGGTAGTTGTGCTTTCGATTTCGTAGTGGTCGCAATGACAAGCAGAAACCAGTAGTTGTCTGTAACTCTGAGAAGAGCCGGAAGGCACATGACCAGCGGACTGAAGAGCCTAAGGCACATCACGGATGTAAGGCGGAGCCAACTCTGTCGGTCGCAAAGCCGCCCAGGCCTCCGCGTGCCGCTCCCGAACAGCATCGTCTAGAGGAGTATGGCCAAAGCCTGGCATTGGATTCAGGCTTGCGGTTTACACGCTCTCACAACTCGGACAGGCCGAACAAGGTTTCAAAGTCTCAGGAGAAGCAAGCTTGCGGCTTAGGGTCTATAGGGACTCTGGCCACTGGAGCTGTAGCTGGGCCAACGATTGCTTCCTCTCATGTGGAACAAGGACCAACTCTCCATCGCACTTGCAGTGACAAGGCACGGTCTTGCACCGTGAGGGGCGCCAGGTACTCCATGATAAGCCTGATGGGACATCATGTGGCAGAATATGAGTCGGAACAGGTTAACCTGAGATCTCAGATTGAAGCAAGGACGGAGGCAAGACTCTTATCTTCAAGCACTCCTACTCCCACTGCTGCTCTTGCTCCTCCGGCTGCTGATGCTACCGTACAATTACGGCGACGACGACGACGGATGCTTGCACCCACTTTGCTTCTGGACTGAGACCCCAACCCGTGTGCTGCCTGGCAGTCTAAGAGTCACAAGGCCCGTCAAATTGGACTAGGGTTCCTTGCAGGGGTTCCTTCTAAGGGGTACAAAAAAGACGCTGTTTTCTATGTAGAATAATCGGAGTCCTTTACAGGGTTGTCTCAGGGCTGTAGTTACTACAGAGGTGTAATGTACCGGCCTCAAGGGGTTTGGGGATACACTATACCAGCAAAACTTCATCAGGAACCCTAAGGAAATCTAAGGAAGAATGTTAATTAGTAATAGTTCAGGCTTATAAGTCTAAGCCTAAGCAGCAACGAAGCATTAGTCACAAGAGTAGTCATAAGTACAGCGTGGTAGGAGGCAGAGCACTTCGTATGGTACTCAAGCGCCTCCCTTTTCCACTGCTGTGCTAGATTTGCTATGCTAGAACATCCTTGCGGTGGAAATCTCGCATGCGTTCAGAGGGCTTGTACGGGGTCTGGGATGCCACAGGAGCATCAACTTCTCATGCACAGGTCCAATGCAACCGGGTAGCTTCTCAACGATGGTGCCATGTCCATGGCTGACAGCGACGTGGAGGGCCGTGCGCATGTCCCAATTTACGCAGCTTACGCTGACCTTGTTGCCTGCAGGGTCGCAAACACAGAATCCCCCTTTCAGGTCATACACTCGTCAAGAGGAAGAAGATCAGGATGGGTTGGAAGGCGAAAGGGATGTGGAAGGCAGGGGTTGATGGCAGTACCTGGTGTGGGTGGTGGCGGTGGCGGTGGCGGTGGCGGTGGCGGTGGCGGTGGCGGTGGCGGTGGCGGTGGCGGTGGGGGTGGCGGTGGGGGTGGTGGTGGTGGTGGTGGTGGTGGTGGTGGTGGTGGTGGTGGTGGTGGTGGTGGTGCATACTGATGACGGACGGGGGGTCGTGTTCATGACGGAGGACTATTTTCAAAATTACCATGTGGTATTGGTGCCGGGGTGCTTCTCAGCATGGCTTCCATCTGCTCGAGCTTCCCCTGAGCGGCATAGGCAATGAAGTCGCCGATTCGCTCCTGTTCCTGCCATTCAGCACGACCATGGCTGCCAGGCACAGACAAGCCAGGGACACTCTACGAAGTCACACGGCACTGTAAAGGTCCTGTGTCTTCTGAAACTGCTTGATAAGCTTCCTCACCTTCGCAACCTGAGGCGCAAGCGGTGCAACAAAGCACGGGGCCCCATGAAACTGAGTCCTGCCCGCTATCGGCCGACTATCTCAAACCCTATACACTCTATTCCCTACCCTAAACCCTAGCGCCGCAACAGCAAACCCGAAATCCCAAACACCCCAAAACCCTAACCCTAAACCTTAAACCCGAAACCCTAGCTCCAGGCTTCAAAGAGCCGGGCCCCCGACTCCCTCCAGAGATAGGTCGTGCAAGTTCAGCTCCTTGGGATTCCATCGCTCAGCGGGGGTTTTAGGATTTACCCGAGGGTTTAATGTTTGAGTGTGCTTTACAAAACTTTACAGGGCTTTATAGGAGTTTCACCCTTTAGGGCTTAAGGTTTGAGTGTGCTTTACAAAACTTTATAGGGCTTTATAGAGGTTTCAAACCCAAACCTTCCGAACCTTGCAGTACCAAACCCCTAAACCCTAAGGACCATGAACCTGAACCGCAGAAACCCTTTGCGCTTAAGCCTTGCGCCCAAAGATCCCCGAAGCCACAAAAGAAGGCAGGCCTGCCTAATCATGCCCCAGAAACGAAGAGCCCTACACCACAATATCCCATTATCCCATGACAGAGCGCTCACGGGAAACCCTTAGGAACCCTTAAAGGAAGCTAAGGAACCCTAAACCGTAAACCCTATAGGAACCCTTATAGTACTAAACCCTAAAGAACCGTTATAGTACCTTCCGTAAACCCTAAAGAACCCTTATAGTACCCTAAAACCTAAACCCTAAACCCTAAATAGTACCTTCAAAACTTGGCAGGTCAAAGACTCAGCCACGAGGTCAACTCCACCTTCTTTGCGCTTCCGCCGCCGTCTAGAGGTGTGGGAAGCCTATGATGGGGGTTGTGGTGGGTTTTTTGTGAGGGTTTATAGGGGTTTACAGACAACAGTACATTTCATCGTGTCTAGTCTAGTGTTGTCAGGGAGCACTTGTAAAATGCCACCCGCAACTACTTTATTGGTTTTAGGGTTTTTTGCGTTCAGGGGATGTTTCGGGAGAGGGGCTTATATAGGATTTTCAGGAAGTTAAGATGGGTTCATTTTGTAGGATCGTGGGCCTCCTAGGGTTCTTTGACACTCACAGTCGGACGAAGCCTGGCAAGGTCTGTCGCCTCCTAGGGTTTAGGGTTTCAGGAGTTAGCGACGCAAACAAGGTTTTGGGTACTAGGGCTGAGGGCTTTTGTGGGGTTTAGGCTGCATTGCCTGCCAGGCTTTGTGATGACTTCGGGGCAATGCATGTAATGTCGACAGCTTATAGAACATATGATGAGGACGAAAGCACTCTACATGCTCTGCGTTCTACCAGAACTGCAAAGCAATCTGCACTCTGGTTTTGTCACAGGGGCCTGTGACTTTGCCATGTCTTCGTCGTCCTCCCCCCACATGCCTAAGATGCACAGGTGCCGCGCACGCCAAGCAGAACCCAGCCTTACCACTCGGCAGAATCTCTCAGGCACCTTCGCATAGACCTACATCCAAAACCCTAGGCCCTAGACTAACTGAGCTTCAGGCCCACCATGCCTTGGTTGTCGATCACGTCCTGCGGCGGAAGCTCGGCGATCGAGTCTGATAGTGATGCCGGCTCATATATATATATATATATATATATACGCTGCACTTACGGCCCAGATGCTTCGGAAATAGTTTCTAATATTCTGATATTTCCGATCTCGTTTTGTGCAACAACGTAGCTTCAGCCAGTGTTCTGTGCTGTGCATCTCTCAGCGTTTGGGGAATAAACTGGAATTGACCACGCCGACCCAGATGCCCATGCCTATACTCCTACACTCCTACAATCCTATAATCCTCGTACTCCTACTATTAGTACTGCTGCTCGCTGCTATTGCTACTGCTATTCCAACCTCTGCTGCTACAACAAAAAAAGTGACTACTGCTGTCCATTTGTTCATCCCGGTCCTCATTACCTTCCTGTTCATGAGACGGGTCGGGCGTCAGCTTGAGAACGTTGTTGTGGATGGCTTCGTGGTCCTCTCCAGGTGCCGGCAAAGTCTTTGATTTAGTAACTGTTCCAACACTTGTTCCAACAGTCCATCCACCTTTACATGACATCATCACAGTTGGTTTGCGGAAGGTCGTTGGCATTAACAGGGGCCAATTTCGTCCGCCTTCTCCGCTGAGGCATCATGGGCGTGCAGGGTCCAAGGACTACTCTGGTGGGGAGTCTCGTGCACCTTCTATGTCCTAATCCCCATAAAGTCACCGTATGTTGCATCTGCGTGAAGAAATGCTGCCGTACAGGCAAGCACAAACCTTCGAGCTCGCGACTAAACAGAAGGCTGACTCCACAGGGTTTTTCATGATGATTGCCAAATTAACCATGTGAAGCTGGTGATGTATTCTGTTTCAGAGCTTGCATAACTCATGCGGACATCAAGAGTCATATGCTTCAATGTCAAGCCTGGCCAGACCGGAGAATGCTACAATGCGAGCTGCTGCCACGTGTGCAACCGGAGCTAACCATGTTCGCATCGAACCTGTTGTGCTACTCAGCGCTTGCGCAGCGGCTTGTTGTCGCTGTTAACTTGGAGACCATGTCATTCTTCTGCAATGCTGCAATGCTCCTTTAAAGGCGGCTGTGCCGCTGTGGAAGTCTTCCTCCGGATGGCTATGCATGCTACTTCGTCCAGGCATTATGCGAGTCGCTCAATGGGCTGTCCAAACTCCTGCTCCACCTGCATTGCATCAGGTCTGACAGGATACTGCCCGGGTGATGCTCCTGTACTGCAGACTTAACAGACATGTTTAGCGGACCAGTCCTTGGGATACAAAGCCAGGGCATTGTTCAGCTGCTCCAGGGGGCACTTAATGAACACGCTGTCTTCCTCACCTGGTGAAGAAAAAAAAAAGCAACGACCGGCTCTCTCTTGGAGGCTCTTGACGGCCTGGTCTGACCCTGCAATGTGTATCGGACCGAAACCAAACCAGCCTAGTACTAATAGTACTGCTCCTGCTCCTGCTAATGCTACCACTGCGGCTATCACTACAGCTACAATGACGACGACGACGACGACGACGACGACGACGACGATTACTACGACTACTTCCAGAACCACCAAAAAAGGACAACGACGACGCCATCACCCTCATCACCACAGCTTGACGAAACGGGACTTCAAGCCATGTTGCTGACGATGGAGATCTCGTGTCGCAGGCCAAAGAGACAGGATATGTCGCACAAGGCCGTGCCCCGCTCGTCCACGCGATCCACCTACCAAGAAAACGAGAATCCGATGGTCGGAAGGTATGGGACATTCACATATCGGCTAACTCTTCCCGCTACAGTACTGGTATGCGGCTGACCATACCTTCTTCCTGTTGACCAGATCCGGCCTCATCACTGTTCATGTCGCGCAACTGTGCCGAGCCGCTTTTCAGGACCACGAAATAACCTGGGTGAATGGGTTCACTGGGCTTTGATCCTGTGTGAAGTTCCGGTTCAGCAGTTGAAGCTGGCGAGTTCAGGGATTGCCCGCTCGAAGAGCACTGGGGTGCCCGTTGAGATGCTGGGACGAGGGCGTCAAAACCGTGCTGTATAGCCCCTGCCCATAACTCCTCGGGCCTGTCTTTGTCTGCCTGTTTCGCGGTCGATGGTTTACAGTCTGTGGGCAATGACAAGACGTGAAGGCAAAGAGCGTGAAGCTTCGTGTAAGTGCTGCTCACATCTCGCCTAAAACCCTTAACCTCAAAACCATTCAGCCCTACCTCACACCTTCCGAGTGCTAAATCCTACAGCGCCAAACTTACAACTTGACATCACAGCTCCTGCCTTGAATCCCCAAGCCTTAACATGCTGCCCTTCACCTTAAAACCACCTCCTTCTTTTGTTTGACAAAATATCGGGGCTTCAATGTCAGCAAGAATAATAGGAACCCGTACCCAGGAGAGTTGACTGCCAGTACTCATTATTTAGGCCCTCCTCATGAACATATTAAGCCTCCTTTCCCCAAATCGCTTCCCCTGACACTGTCAAGACACTGGTGGGCTCCCCTGCTCGGCAAACAAAGGCGCCCGCCGATGATGTCAGCAGCCGACATGATGTCGCCAAGTGGAGCAAGAAGGGATCTGAACAGTCCTGGGTTTAAGAAATAGGATTTGCGAGGTTCTCGCGAGGCGTCCCTGCTGGTTCTAGTACTCTGCTATGGCTTACAGCTCTGTGTATGTGTGTGAACTGACCTGCATGATATTTAGTGTAAATATAAGGTAGACATGCTATGGACGATGAAAGGCTTATATAAACGCTAAACCATATCCCTAAACCCGAATTCCTGATCCCGTTTTGGGCATAAAATTACGGGGCCGGCTGCGGCCCGCACGGCAGTCTTTGTTCTGTGGCGTCAGCGCGCCCTAAACTCTAAACCTTAATCCTGAACACTGAAGCCCTAAGACTCTGAACTCGAAAACCCGGTCCTTGAAGATCGGCAAAGCTTGAAGCCACTTGAGAAAGACACGCCGTCCCACTCTCTGGAGCAGGGAATAGGAAAGGTTAGCCAAGACCGACTCCATGACACGAACCTGGGATCAAGATCCAGGCTCTCAGGCGTACTAATGATTCGGATAGGGCCCCGCGGGGTACGATGCTACATAGTTGTTGCCTCAGTGGTGATGTTATAATGATAAGGATGACTATGATGACCTCGGCACAAGGTACTGGCAGCAAGTGCAATACCGGAGGCCTCCATGTCCAAATAAGAAGCCCGACCCCGCCAACCAAATAGGTCCTTTTGTTTACACTTCGCGACAGGGTGTTCAGACCACTGCCCATACTCTAAAATATAGGTAGGTATAAAGGCTTCTATATTGAGCCCACCATTCGGGGATCGTCTGAGGTTCCACGCACTTGAAAGCTTACAGCTTGGGTTCTCCCCTGCAGAGCTTGGCTCGGAGGCCTGCAATGCGGTAGGATTGGATATCACACGTGCAATGGCTGGCGGTTTCTGGCCCTTGCAGACATCTCAAAGACAATCTTCGCTAGCCCGATTGACTACTCAAAGAACCCAATAGCACTTCAACAGGGAGTGTAACATACATCTTGTCTTGAGGATCCTTCTGCGTTTTTTTACTTATGGGTGCAAGACTCTCCAGCTATTTTGTAGACTGTCGCCAGGCCACGTCTGCGGCCTTTTGGGTTTTGTTGCTGGACGCCAGGACGTTGACGCTGCTGTCTCCGTCTGCGCCAGCGGACATTCGGATCCTGAGAAGACACCATAGTGATTGTAAGGATGAAGAAGACCATCATCGTCATGATTGTTGTTCAAACAAGTCGTTGTTGTTACTGTACTTGCTACTGCTGTCCCATTTATTATGAATATCTCACCCAGGGCAGCATCTGCAGACCCTTTCCCGGATTGTCGTTGAGCAGCCTTACGACTCAATCGCCGCAACACGGAGCCCTGCCGAATGTGCCGGTTCCTAGTGCGAAGCAAGCCTAGTGCACATTTGCAAGAGTTCCTGTGCGGAGAGGAAGCCGTCGCAGGAGCGGTACCCCTGCCGAATCCTGGCCCCCTGACCCCGGAAGTTTAGACCACCAACCCTAAACCCAACATGACCCAAAAAGCCTCAAGCCCAGATACCCTTTACCCAACGACTCTGCGTACCCCCCTAAGCCCAAATCCCTAAAGCCTTGACCCAAGCTCTGTCTTGCTGAGGGATGCTGAGGGCCCCCACTGTTCCACGAGGTCTGGAGGAAGACCCGAGTTCTTGATGAAGGTGTCAATCCTGCTTAGGGTTTATGGGCGCTTAGGGCTTTAGCGATGATTCGGGTTTGGAATTCAACCTTTTGGTTCGCGTGTAGGGATTAGTGTTTAGGCTTACGTACGAAGCTTCCCTGCTTGCCCATCCTGACTCATGTTCACAATTCAACTAAAGTACACTAACTACCACAAACTATGCCCGGGGGCCGAAGCTTCGTTTCGGTGTTTCCAGTTGTGCCATGTACGCTCGAGCATCAATTAGACACCTTAGGCATAGCAAATTTTGAAGGTGGGCTTGAGAACGCTTCAAAGCCAAGCCTACTTTGGGTTTAAGGTCTATAGGCTTTAGGATTGTCAATTGTTGAAAACTTGGTGTCTTGACAGACTTCAAGTGCACCTGTCCTGGCTCGCATGACGCGCTGCTCGACGACACTTTCATCCTGCGAGATTACCTGTCGCTCGGGCGGCACATCCAGTCCCTTCTTAGGGAAGCGGTCTTCCGATTTGATTTGCTTCGACCTCCTTGGCCTGAAACCTGAAACCTTGTCGCATTGAGCAATGTCATTGAAACCAACCTTCCACCTATGAACCCTAAACCGCAGAACCTGGGCGCAGAAGATGGACGACCTAGACCTTGCAGGACTGCAGTACCCGAAATTCGTAATAAGGACTGCCAGGGAGCAGTAGTACTGCTTATTTAGGCCCCTATATTTAAATACTAGCTTTCATAGTCTTTTTGGGTTCGACTGGCCTTGCCAACCAGTGTGCCGTCAATGTGGCCCATCACTGCGACAGAGATCACGAAACCTGTGGCGAAGGGTTCAAGTTCAGGGCTTACGCTCTCACAACTCGGACATGCCAGGCGAGGATCCATTGTCGCAGGTCGGCGCGAATCTAAAAGAAGGTTAGGGTTCAGGGTTTAGGGGTTCAGGGTACATTTCCGCGCTCACACTCGGACAGTCCAGGCGAGGCATGTGGTCTTGAGTCTGTGAATACAACTATTGTTGGTTTAGGGCTTGGGGGTTTCGGGATCAGGGGATAACGAAACCTGCGGCTACTGTAGGGGTTCATTGCGGACAGTAGCGTTGCAATCGGCTGCAAATGAAGAGATGGTCTTGTGCATCATTACGCTGCTGCTCCTCACTGCTGGCCGTGACCACAGTCGGGATAGAGAGATGGAGATCCCACAACTGCGTCGACGCTAGCATGGGAAGCGGTTGCAAGGCAAAGAGATGAAGTTGCTTGCTGCGTGTCGAACGCACCGCCGGGGGTCGCGTCCAAGAGTCTATGCTGAGTAAAGCATTTGCGTGCAAGTTCCAGGCAAGTGGCTCACTAGCAGCCAAAACAGCTCGGGCCAAGATGATGGGCTGGCAAGAGAATTGCTGTCGTTCGTCACAACGACCACCATGATGTAAATTGCCCTCGGTGCAGCATTGATGGTGCTGCTCTCGGTCATCCGATAAGGTCTGACATTCCAGATACTCGAGGCTACTTGAGAACATGAAAATCGGATTTAGGGTAGGGGCACAGGTAAAAAGCTCGCCACGGCCCAGAGTGCGGGATGGACGTTGTGCCAAGCGGCAGCAGGTATTGGTTCAATACCTTGGGAGGCGATAACAGGAAAAAGCCCGCCTGTTTGGGAGTCGTCTTCTGAACCAGGACAGTTCAAGGGATATGAACGGTTGCTTGAAGGAACACCCACCACACATAGACTCGGCAGCATACACAAGGAGAAGATAACACATAGTCCGCCGGCTGGGAAACACTGTGAACAAATTGATCAGGGGGATACACAGATGGCCCAGTCTAAACCCCTAAACCCAAAAATCTAAACACTCAGAGCATCTGCCTGGTGAAACTCCGAATTAACAGGAGCCAGTTTCAGGCAAACCGCGGGCACTTCTGGCTGGCTTATGCTGCCCCGCTGGACATTCATGCCTGCGCCCAGAGCAAGAGAAGTATAGAGGAAGACCCCACATATTCGACCAAAATCCTTATACGCGAAATTTTAGATTGGACGTTGCACGCCAAACAAAGCCCCATCTTCATTCCTGTCTCGCAGCGAGCACCTACTTGCAAGGTTGGTGTTCCCCGTCGGAAGTAGGCGTAGACAACCTCTCTTCCATACACAACAGCTGCCTTCGCTTTTGCTTCTTCTGCTGCTGCTGTTGCTACGACGACGACGACGACGACGAGGACTAGGACTAGGACTAGGACTAGGACTAGGACTAGGACTAGGACTAGGACTAGGACTAGGACTAGGACTAGGACTAGGACTAGGACTAGGACTAGGACTAGGACTACGACGACTTCCTTACTCTTGTCGAGCGGGAACTGTCTGGCCTCGGCCAGTCACTCGATCCGCTTTCAACTTGGGACGCGATCAAAAGTACAGGCTCGAGTCCGCTTACCGCAGACTAAATCCTGGACCCAGCCAGCCTTCGTACACCATGAACCATCCAGGCACATCAGTGTCGCTTTGCCGACTTCGCAATTCTTGCCTAAGGTCAGGCCGAGCCACGAGCCACGATGGGAGTCCGTTCATTCTTTATGGTTGAGGCTACGTTGTGGCTTCGGCTCTCACACTCAGCGAGGCTTGTGGTCTTGTGGTTTAGGGTTTCGGGTCGACTGGCTTCTTGACTTCAATAACGGCTTGACCTTGGTAGGCCACGGTATCACTGTAGCATCCGTACATGGATTTGAGCAGAGCAGATTTCACAGCAGCCTGTTAAAGTGAAAAACACGCAGAGCCCCAGTCACGCATGCTGCGGCCTTAATGCCTGCTACGGACAGCTCCGACCTCGCAAGCCGACAAGGCACAAGGAAGGCCAGCCATTTCCGATGTACCAGAAGATGCAGGCCATGAAATGCAGGAGTACGAAGAGCTGCAGCACAACCATCAAAGTCGTGAGCCTGCTTCGAGCGGGGCTCAACATGACTTGCAGGTTGAGGCTAACTGGGTCGCTGGCATGAAGCCGTGCTCTTGGCGATCGGAGGACTTGCTGTCCTGGGCAGAGATGGGACAGGGCTTCCCTGGCCTGAGTTGTACATCCGCTAGTACGGGCATCGGATGATGTTCCATGCCTCTAGCCGGTGTGCATAGATTCCGCTGAGACACGTTTCTGCGTGTGTAGAGATGCCGAAGGTGGATGAGCTTCAGCAATCGCCAGGTAGCATACGTACGCCTTCGCTGACACACAGCCGCCCTATTTTTAGGCTGCAATACGCAAAGCTTCCTTTGCAGACTTTAGCTACGTAGATGTAGCTAAAACTTCCATTCCAGAGGCTTCCTGCTCTACATTAAGACTTTTTCAACAAGAGAACAACCTTCGTATCGCTGGTCATCTCTCGACCAACCTATACTTCATTGCGAAAGTCCATATGCCCCTGAGTCAGATCTAAACCTTGGGAGCGTGTTTCCACATAGCCCTCACCTACGCCGCTGCAACTGCCTGCCTGTCTTCGCCAAGTGGGATGTTCTAAAGCATCCCCTCGTGTGCTTACGAGTTTCATACCATGGATTGGCAGGCCAAGCGTTTTCTGTCTCTGAAATCCGACGGGTTTAGCGTCATGTCTATGAAGGGGGCTCTCTATTTCTCAATGGAGTGGGGGTTTATCAAACAAGCTTCGAGAGGGGGTGGGGGCCGACTTTACGGCTTGAAGGAAACGAAAAGCGCCAGTTTTTGACAATGCTTGCATTTTACAGAAACAGCGGCCCCAGAAAAAAGATTGTCCTTGGAGCCCATGTAAGGCCACGGTCCATGTGCTCGCAGCTATCACCCAGGCCATTCAGTAGTTCTGCAGCATGGCTTCCAGCAGCTCCATGCTAAACTCGAGTATGTCTCTAAGTAACGAATCTGCAGTAAATCAGCCCGTTTTTCGACGGAGCCACAGTAAATCAGCATGCCCAACTGATCCAGAGTAAATGAGACAGATTGTTTCCAGCAAGCCCGCAGTCAAGCCCAAGGTAGCTCTGCCTGATTCAATCTCTTCGCCCATGCTTGGGATGGCACGGTCTCGTTCAGCCAAGGGGCTGGCCTAAGCACCCTTACACCGGAACACGGTTCCTTTTTCATGTGGGCCTCTTGTACAAGGCTTCTCTGAAACCAGGGAGGACAGCGGCGGCGATGCAATCTGTGAAACGGAAAGGGAGCGTCGGACTCCGTCGGACATGGTTTTGAGCAGGGCCCCGTCTCATAGATGAACAGGCGCAAACGTTGGGATTCTGACATCCTTCTTTTGCCCACCCTGAACATCCAACACACGCGTTTCTCACTTCGCCAAGGAGGCATGTGCCAGTCAGAGGCTGTTGTCTTATGTTGTCTTGCCGCTGTCCGACTTATGAAACACAAAAGTTAAAAGTTCTATGACGTTTTCCTTGTTTGCCGGACGTTTCGCTGCACAAAACTGTGTGCAATATTTGGCCTTCTCTCTCTCTCTCTATCTCTATCTATGTTTCACGCACTAGATCTCTCTCTCTCTCTCTATATATATATGTATAAAATATATTTGTGCATCTCTCCTTCCTGTGAAGTGCAACAGGGAATGTCTCACGAGCGAAACCACGGCGATCTCCTGGATGAGTGACCAGGAGTTTCAAATGTTAACTACAAAAAATATCTACACCGGAACTAAACTTCTTCGAACAATTGTAAGAGAGAGGGTTTCGACTCACACACTCACAAGGCAGGCATGGCGATAACTGTCAAGAGAGAGGGTTTAGGGGTATAGGTCATAACTCTGAATGGATGACATGTTTAAGGTTAATGAATAAAGCTGCCCACATCTTGTGGCCGTAGCCTAGAGAAGACAAAGAACACCGGATTTAGTTGACCGCATTTTGGGACATGTCAGAAAGCTGAGATTTACTGGAAGGTACCGAGTCCTGTTGAACGCGCATCCATTTTCTGTTTCGAGATGCAGGTACCGCTATGTAGGGAAGCTTGTATAGCATCATGACCCCTTTCCTGACCTTCCTTGTATACACCGTGAGGAACTCGTGGGTCTGTCTGCCATTTCGTCGTCACTTGAGGCGAAAACCAACTTACTCTTGCTCGTTCCCTTTTCAGAACTGAACATAATTGAGCCGGGTGTCAGTTTGCTGTTAAGATCTGGCATACTCTACGTCAGCTTAGCTTTAAGGCCACAGGGTCATATGCAGTAAATTTCGTTAAATGGTGATTAGCTTGAACTTCTTTTTCGGCATGCAACATGAAGGGTATCTGACTTATACGTAAAGCGTGCAAACAAGAAGTTTTCATCAACAGAGGCTATTATTGGCGAAATGGGGTATCTAAATGCTCAAATGAAAGCTTGTTCTTTGGGGTGCCTTGGTGTCCCGTGTGTACGATTGTGCAAGAAGTTGTCGCAGGCACATCGGCAGAAAGCAGTGCGTGATATGTTGGACAGTTTCGTGCAGGCAGCAGCAAACAACTTGTGAAAAAGCTTGAAGGCGCAACATAGTCGCAAACGGGATAGTAAAGCTTTCGACTACCACCGCTTGTCCTACTCTGCTAAGATGTTCGATGACGAGAAAGTGCAAACATGCATGCATACGCTTGGTGCTAGCATGAACAATGCAGGAAGGAGTGCAGCAAGACCTCAGCAATGCATCTGAGGGCAACCTGTGGGTAAAAACGGATGGTTCCAGGGTCTTCCAACTTTCCAAAACCGTTTTTCAAGTTTTGGTCCTTCGCAGCTTCATGGTCTCCAAGCGTCCGATTCGAGTTTAACGTGGGGGAGCCAACCCGCTCGGTTTGCAATCACGAAACTTGGCCCACCGCGGACACGACAAGGGGGCGGGGAGCAGCAAAAAGGCCTGAATAAATACTATTCGTGTGACCGCAGAGTCCGTCTATTACAACAAAAAATGACATAGTAGCCCCTCTTCTAATGCACAAAGCCCCTAGACTAACTTTGGTGAAATCCGCACTTTGGGGCACATTATCATACGAGTACGTAGGCACGATCAGGAGACAGTGTGAATATAGTTTCCGTCGCCTACATTACTACGACCAGGGCTGAGCGGTTTAATCCAAAGGCAGAGTTTGGCAGAGTTTAGGGTTTAGGGTTTAGGGTTCAGAGCCACGGTTTAGGGTTTAGGGTTTAGGGTGCCAGGGTTCAATTGTGGGATGTTAAGCGCTTTTCATTCCACTGACACAAGTGCCAAAACTCAAGTGGCCGGGTTGCTCGCTGGACAAAGATGGATCGGCAAAGATGTCGAAGGGAAGGCAGGCAATCAAATCCCAACCTCGCAGTCTATTTGATCACCTCCCTTATGAATGTCCCTACACAGACTTGTTGATACTTTATATTTCCTGTCTTTCCGTGCTTTCACATGCTATCAACTGCAACTTGCTTGCTGAGATTGGAGGAAGGACATCCCTCACGGAAATCGAAACAAGCTCCTCTGCTCGAACCCTAAACCCAAACCGGAAGCTCGAAGCCCTAGAAGAACAAACGCTGTGGAGACTCATCTGCTAAGTGAGTATGAGGGCATCCCCGCAGGATGTACACCTCCAGCACCAACCCCGAGACCCAAGAAGCATGATAATCATAATACCTTTCCTAGCTATACCTCTTGCTACTAATGCTGCTGCTACCACTACAGCTTTTGCTGTTGCTACTGCTACTACTGCTACTACTACTACTACTACTACTACGACTACTACTGCTGCTGCTGCTGCCGCTACTACTATTACCACTACTTCGACTCCTACTACAGTACTAGTACTTCCACCTACTGCTACTTCTACCACTACTACCATTTCGACTAGCTTTCTACTCTCTTCTAGTACAACTACGACGATGACGACGACGACTGTTACTACTACTCCTCCTCCTGCTGCCGCTACCTCTGCTACCCCTCTACTGCTACCGCGGCTGCTACTGCTACCTGCTACTACTACTACTACTAC